AGAAACAAAATTAAAATCATACAAAGTATTAAATATCCTCAGTTTCAATTAACAATCTTTTGTGAAATGAATATTTATTCCGCTTGCAGTTTATCCGGTAATTATGATAAACTCTTATCTTCTTCAACAATTATTGAAATTTACTCAAATTGTCTCTTTGAAAGATTTATTCAGCTGACTCAATTAGTCTAACTAGTTATATTCCTAATTGAAAGTGGATATAAAAATCTAATCAATGTTAATCAGAATTACAAAATTGTATACATTTATGAATAACCTTTACTTCTAATGTCGATTTAATGAAAAATTTTCCATGTTTCATTAATTAAAATGAAGTACTTGAAGGTAAAGTATCATTAAGTGATGTTGACAAGAATTTATCCAGGAATATTCTACAATGAGAATATTCTTGAAAAGACTGCACAGTATTTTGAATAATAGCTCAACTTATATCGGTAACAGACTATTTGACACAGATATCCTGAAAATCATCATTTAAGAACAATTTTTATGCTTAAAAACCAAATTATACCATAGAATCAAACTGTTGTTATTATGTTATTACGTATTATTATTATTATTATTATTATTAGTCCCTTGGGTTCCTAGTGGAACATACCGCTTCAGTAGCACGTCTCCAGTCACCTCTGTTCTCTGAGATCTTTTGAACCTGCCTCCACAACAGCCCACAACCTCTCATTTCCTCCTCACACAATCTCCTCCATGTCACCCTCACCACGGACACACAACTCGTCGCTTCCCATGGGGATTCCACTCGAGTACCTGGCCTGACGCGTGATGTCCCCAGTCGGCCTTCTCATTGCATGCCCAATCCATCTCCACTTCCTTCCAATGCATATTTGTTGCGTGATAGCTTCTTGGTTGGTTCGTTCCCAGAGTTCCTTGTTGCTCATTCTTTCTGGCAATCCATCTGATCTTCAGTAGCGGGCCAGCGTAGGCAGTTGTTGATGAATGTCTGTAGTTTATTGGAAGTGCCCTTCGTAACGCGCCAAGTCTGAACCATCACACAGAAGCACTGACTTGATTCACATTAGTGTTGAAAATCCGTATCTTGTTCACGATGTGTGCTGAGTGCAGAAGATCTCCACACTGGTTTCAGGCTAATGAACGCCTGTCTTGCTTTTCCTATTCTAACTTTGACATCCTCGTCTGTGCCTGTGGCGCCTGTAGTTGAAACAGTGCTTCCTAGATAGGTGAAGGAGGTGACTTCCTTTAAGTTTCTCCGGTTGATGGTGACTGGAGTTTGTTGTTGTCACCATTATTATTATTATTATTAATATTATTATTACTATTATTATTATTATTATTATTATTATTATTATTATTATTATTATTACTTAGCTAGGACCCATTAACATATTCAGTGCTGAGGAATTTACCTGCAAGGATTATGTAATGTATGAGACCAAATATTAAACATTTTAGGTCACTAAACAGTTGAAAATTCACTTTTAAACTTCATTTCATGAGACGAAACAATATTTTCGTTTGCAAATAATGCTAATCACTTCCATTAATACTTTGCTGGTCCAAGATAATCGTTTGAATGAGGTCACTAAGTCTATTAGACACTAGTTTTTTAGCACTGATAACTTTTATATCCTGGTCACCATTTGATTATCAGCCCATGTCCACTTGTTACAACCCCGTCGCTAATTGTTATGACCTTGATTGTACATATTCGGATGCTTGAACAATGCCTTTCAGATTCCACCCTTTGATGGTCGCTCATTTTCTCAGTGAATGAAAAAAAGTGGCAAAATAATGATAGTCGGACATTTTCTACGCTAACAGAAATACTGAATTTAATATATCTAGCCCATATAATACTCAAGCATGATTTATCATTTCTGATACACATTATACCCTGAAAGCTTTTTGTTCTTTGGTCATGTGTTTTCTTGAAAACAGTTTTCAACACTCGCCCAGATTCAAGGAAGTATCCGGGCAAATAACTCTTTAAAGGTTGATTATTTTCTTGTCTGAGGGAATCAAAGTTCAAAAATTTACAAAACTTCAAATATAATCACGACCTAGTCTGCAAGCTATTATGCCTATGTCAACATCTAATCCAACTTAAGTAATACTTATTCATCTGTTCCCACTTAGATAACATCAACGAAACATCAACGGCTATGTTTATATAAACAAAGTAACAGATGGTGTTAAAACTGTATGTATTTAAAGAAATAATACTACTATCATTTATGCTCGTAGATATGCCTTGCTGAACAATTTTCAGCTTAATAAACATATTCATGACAACTGAATTCCTTTGAATTCCCACAGTTACCACTTTATTTCTGATCCTACATATTATTGTACCATTTCAAATAATATTCTGCATCAGCTTCTTATATGTGAACACAGATCTCGTACAACGACACTGACTGTCAGCATAAAGGGTCGTGGGTGCGCACTGCTGAGGAGTCCCATACTAGGACGAAACAGCTGTCCAGTGCTCCCAGGTTTCCTTTGTTCCTCCAACTGATGTCAGTCTTCGATGAATAACAACTTGAAATATTTTCACTTGTATTGAAAATCTTGTAGATCCTCTTTTTATAGTTATCGTTTGATAGCTTGTTTTTTGCGCCTCTTGAAAGGTTACATGTGGCAACAAAGAAGTGACTTTGCTATAGAAACTAACTACATTTCATACTTCATCAATGAAAGCAAATTCATTCAAGACTGAAAAATGACTGTCAATTCTGTAGAAGCTCTGGTTCTTGATTTTGATATTTGTGTGTTACTTTAAATGATGTGATTATTACAAGAAACAAAACTTTATCTGATTTATAAGAAATAATCTTTCATTTGACAGCAAGTTACTTATGACACTATCTCTAACAATAAATGAAATGACGCTTCTTCAGATTAGTACTTATCATGAATTGACATTAGCTGGAAGAACATTGGAAAGCTGGGAGCACTGGACTCCTCAGCAGTGTGCACCCATCACCCGACCAGGGCTCTAATCCAGGACTTTCAGGTTCTGCGGCCAGCACGTTACCGTTGAGCTACTGGGTCGGGATCAAGTGGTCCATATTTTCTAGTCCATGATGAATACCAATCTGAAATCAGTAAATCCCCATAAATCTCCAAACTGAATTAGCATCTCTTCGTTTGTTTATTTCGTTGTTTACCATTTATTCCACATAACCATAAACAAACACCTTGTTCTTGTAGTTTTAGATTGATCAAAATTTATATCTCTGCCTACTTTTTCGTATGTATCTTGAGATGCCTGAAAGTATTTGAAATGTGTAAACGCCCTCCTGTCATGAAATGGAATGATTTAAATTACTAAACATGGGTTACTTTTGTGTCATATAGTCTTGTTAAGACTACACCATAATTAAATGTCGACACTGAGGCATATACAACTAAGAAGCAAATATTTCTCCTTAATACACATTGTTATCGGGGACTACTTTCGTTAAACATCAACAAATCTAAAATAAAACTTCCTGAGTGCAACTCATTACCTTGGTTTACTTACTCTACTGTCATTATTATCCTCATTTTGATCGATTAGTCCCAGGGAAATGAAAAAGGCTTACCAACCAACAGAATGCACTGGTTATTCACATTTCTGAGAGAAAACTTTTTAATAACTGCCACACCACTTTTAACTGTTTATTTTGACACTAGAACTTCCAGAATCCTTTCGGTTTCCTGTTTACAGTCAAAACTCAGGTGCATCTGTCAGCAAGCCACTTTCTCTGACAACATAACTGTAAGATATAGTCAACTAAAATGGAAAGCGTAAAAGAGTTTCAGGTGTTCAGACATAGATGGTTTGTAGTGCTGGTCATACAAATCAGGATAACCAAAAATCATTGTGTTTTGTTATGAACCCTACAGCAAGAAAGGTGTGTCTTTAGGTGAGGTTGTAAAAGTGAACTGATTATGATGGCTGGCACATCTTTTATGGATGCTCATCTTCCATTCCCTTGAAGACTCAGTGTTAATTAAAGGTAGATTGTTTTGGAAAAAAGCTACAAGTACCTATCAGTAAATCCATAAAGTCAGCACTTGCTATTCTTAGCCAAGCAGGATTGGCAACAACTTGACCAAGGTGGTTGAGGTGTTAAAGGTTAATGCTTATACGTTTTCAGTTACCCCAAGGAATTAATCACAATAGCATGCATGTATTGACTTGTCACCTTTCTCCTAAGCTCCAAAAACTTGTTACTGAATACCTATTATTGTTATTTCAACAAAACTCTTCTTCATTTCCATATCTTTTTATTCTTCCTGGTTTTCCCTTCCTGTCCTATAGAGAAGTATGTTGTAAATTAGGAATCTTCCGTAGAAAGGATCAGTTTCCATGGGCTGCAGTAAAGTGCAGTTTACCAAGGTCTTCAGGGTGAATTAAACCAATGAGAGAGGCTTTAACTGGTAGTTTATAGTTAACGAGTCTGTATACTTGAGGCTCAGTAACCGGATTTCTCTGAGTCTCAGCCAACACTGATTTTCATACAAAGAATAAATCTGGCACCCATCGGTTCAAACTTATAAGCTGTTTCGTCACATATCCGAAGAAGCATACATCTTGTACTCCGCCGTTAACCACAAACCAGTATATATTTAAAATATGATTAAAACTTATATAGTAACATACATTGAAGGATCTCAGTAGCAGAAACAAAATCTTGGTCAACTCAACAGTGATTATCAAGAAAATGTTTTTCATTCAAAAATTATGCAACTATTGGTTGTTATTTTGAAAACAGACGGAAATGCGAACTTAAACATTATCTGAAAATGTTATTAAATATCATTATATAGGTCACAAGTTTCATTCTTGCTGAATAATTGTACTTCACAATCATGAACTACTAACTTGTACAGTTGAACTTAAAATGTTATTGAAACTCAGTATTACAAATGTAGTAGTTATATATTAAACATAGAACGACATATTCTTCAGTAGATTTTGATACAGAAATATCTATTTCACGTCCTCCTTTTTTTAGATTTTCCAATAGTAGATTATCATGATACACAAGAAAGAATACATTTGGTTGGTCAACAACTTATTCAAGAATGGCAAAATTCTGAAATGGCACAACGGTATGTGTTCCATACAGTTTATGTCTATATTTCCTTTTATAAAGTTTAAAAAAGCAGAAGTAATAATTCTAGCAGTAAAATTTCTTTATGTAATCAGTTTCTCTTCGGTTACCTACAATCGAAGATATTAAAATATAAAGACTATCATGGTAACTTAAGCATACTGTGGTTCACTAGGATTAAACTGGGTCAGTGGAGAATATTTGTAGATCAGGTGGATAGTCTTGGTTGTAATGTGTCCTCTGAGCTGGGTTATTTAATCGTGAAGCCTTCATCGTCTTCCTAGACGACATCATCAGCACTAACTTCAGTATGAAGTGAGCTGTCAATATCTCTCCGTCAGTGGGTGATTTAGTAGCCTGCTCTGGCGAAGTGGTCTGTGATTGGTTGTTTCCTTTGACGGTTGTCACTGATAAGTCATCTCATAAATTTTCCTGTCGTCTGTCCCTCTGTTTGATCTCCCACCTTTCTGTCGTTCATCATCTTTCTTATTAGTTGATAGATTGGGTCTACATCTATACATCTGTTGATTGCTGACCGACTGATGTGAATGCCAGGCTTCTAGGAATTCTCTGATATTCTTTGTGTTTCCACTGTCCAAAATTTCTACATTGTCGAGATTGAATTCATGTCCATAATTATCCACTTGCATTGAAATTAGTGATGAAATATCGTGAGGTGTAATGACCAATTGGTGTTCATGTAGACGAAGGCGAAGAGGGCAGCCACTTTGTCCAACGTAGTGTTGACTACAGTTATTGCAATTGATTTTGTGGATGATATTCGGTTTGTCTTCTTTGGTCGTCTCATCATTGGTCTGCATAAGTGTTTGCAGGGAATTTGTTGGTTTGTGAGCCACACTAATTCCAAGTGGTCTCACTAATCTTGTCGTGATTTCTGATGTATTCTTTATGTGAGGTAGAGTGATACGTTTGATGATTTTTGTCGATGGCTTTGTAGTTGATGATGGCGGGATAGGCATCTTCTGACAAAGTTTCGTGGGTAACCGCTCTTCTTTAGGATGGACATCAAGTAATTTCCCTCTCTTCTCCGTGAAGTTGTTGTACTGCAGTGTGTTCTGGCTCTTTTGAATACAGTTTGCATGCAATTGATCTTGTGGGCTGTTGCTATTGTAGTTGAGGATTTGGTCAGTGTGTGTTGGCTTCCTATACACTCGGGTTTCCAGCTTTCCGGTATTTATTCTACTGACTAGAACACCCAGGAATGGTAGTTGGTTGTTTGACTGACTCCTCCTCCATTGTGAATTTGATGTCACTGAAAACGTTGTTGTTCAAATTGTGGGTGTTTTCTATATCTTCTTTTTTAATGATGACAAAAGTGTCGTCCACATATCGAATCCAGGATTTTGGTTTGATCACAGGTAGGGTGATGGCTTCCAGTCTCTACATCACTGCTTCAGCAATTAGTCTGAATATCAGTGACCTCATTGGAGTTCCTTTCATCTATTTGTATATCTTGCCGTTGAATTAGAAGTATGCTGTCAGGCAAAGGTCGATGAGTTCCATCGAACTTGAACATTTAAGCTTTGTGCGTTCTGTAAGGCTTGTGTCTCCATTGAGCTGGAGAGAGATAGTTTCCTTGGCCAACTGGAGTTCGATGGATGTGTATAGTGCTGCGACATAGAAGGATACCATTAATTCATCGTTTCCTATGTTAATGTTTTTGATCTTTTCTATGAACAACCGTTTTCCAAACAACCCAGCTCAGAGAACACAATACAACCAAGAAATTTGGTCAGTAATTTAAATTACATCGGCATAATTAGGGAACATCATAATATATCCAAAGAAGTATGTCAAAGTGTCATGATTATAATCATTAGGTGATTAAAGAATCTCGTTAAAAGAACACGTATAACAACAATGGGTGATTTTAAAATAAATATGACGTCATAAACTAGCAGTAAAATGTTAGTTTTGATGTACAATATTCAAGATGGTGTGATAAAAAAAATTAGGAGTTAACAAATTCAGTTCCAAAAGTAGAGGAAGAAAGCAGCTTTCTTTTGAACATATAAATCGGGTTGCAGGAGTTTGATAGTTATGCATTTAGTGAATCTTCAAAGATTTGATCAACTATGTTTATTTTAATGTATTAAAACAGTTCAACATGTCCACGTGGTGTCATATATCAGTGAGGTGACAAGTGACTGCGTAAGCGAAAATGTATGTTTCCTTGAGTTGCAGGCTTTTTGGAAGGTTTTCATAAAATCTGAGATATACCTTTCTCTTGTTCCTATGTACATCCCTGATGGCGACAACTAAACTTATATATTCATTGGTGTGTAACATAGGAAGCCTTTTGCCTAACTTTGACTGTGATAGTGAAAACACTACCTGACAGATAAAGACTAGCTTTTTAGAATAATTTCTGACCAAAATTGTCTTTCATTATCTTCACATTGCTCCCCCCCCTCCAAAAAAAATCATCTGTTTTAAAGTTGAACCCCATGGAAACCGGGTTTTCGTCGACTTGGCTTTTCGCACTTTTTGCACTTCTTCAAAGCACACCATTATTGTTGTCTTACACAACATTCTTTAAGTGACAGTTTATAACTATTATTATTATTATTTGTTCCTTGGGTTTCTAATAGAACAGAGGGCTTCAGTAGCACGTCTCTAGTGCACTCACTTCTCTGTAAACTTTTGAACCTGCCTCCACGACAGTCCACAACCTCTTATTTCCTCCTCGCACCATCTCCTCTATGTCAGACTCAGCTCGGACGCCAAACTCGTCGTTTCCCCTTCGGATTCCACTCGAGTGCCTGGCCTGGGGCGTGGTGTCCCCGAATGGTCTCCTCAGTGTATGCCCAATCCAATCCATCTCCACTTTCTTCTGCATATTTGTTGAGTGATAGGTTCTTGGTTGGTTCGTTGACGGCCAATCAGAGTTCCTTGTTGCTTATTCTTATTTTTCTGGCCATTTGAGCTTCAGTAACGAGCCAGCGTAGGCAGTTGTTGATGAATGTCTGTAGTTTGTTGGAAATGCTTTTCGTAACTCGCCAAGCTTCTGAGCCATAGAGAAGCACTTACTTGACTGAGGTTGGTGTTGAAAATCCAGATCTTGTTCCAGATGCTGAGTGAAGCATAGAAGATCTGCACACTGGTTTCAAGTTGATGAAAGCCTGTCTTTCTTTTCCGATCCTGACTGGCTTTATGTCCTCGTCTTTGCCGCCGCCTGTAGTTGAAACAGTGCTACCTAGATTGGTGAAAGAGGCTACTTCTTCTAAGTCACTCCCGTTGATGGTGATTGGAGCTTGTTATTGCTGGTGGTGTTGGTTGAGTATCTTCATCACCATCTTCTCTACATTCACTTGAAGTCCCGTCTTCGCTGCCCTGTCTCCTCTGTCAACTTGTTGGTTTACACCTGTAGATCTTCGAGTTTGTACCACAAGACATTTGACATAAATCATCATTGGAGAAAAAACCCAAATCTCCTGTGGTCTTTTCATCGGTGCAGTCTGCGTATACCCATCTTCTCACAGCTCCTCACAGTTGTTTCTTGTATGATCCAGTCCAGTCTAGTTGACCACAATCAGGAGGATCATTGGTGATAGTGGGTGGCATCCTTGTCTTACTCCTGTCTTCACTTCACTTCAGATGCATCACTGAGCTTCCCATTGCGGATCACTTAGCATGTGGCGTTTCCATATATATTTGTTGAATGGGGTTGATAATTGTTTGTGGCACTCAGCAATGTTGAAGCAACTGCTCGTCAAATTACTTCTCGGTCGATGCCTCGATCGAAGGCCGGCCTTTTCCAAGTCGATGAAGTTGAGGTAGAGATCCAGTTGACTGCCATGTTATACTCTGTTCTATGATGATGCGACGTGTTTCAATTTGGTCCGCACATGATTTGTTCTTCATGAATCCAACCTGTTCCGGTCGTAGTTTTGAATCCAACACATCCTTTAGTCTCTCCAAGATGATGCGGCTTAATAATTTCCTTGGGATGGACAGCAGCATGATTCCGCGCCAGTTCTCACAAAGACGTAGGTCGCCCTTCTCCGGGAGTTTGACAAGGTAGCCCTTTTTCCAATCAACAGGCAGGCACCTTTCCTTCCTTCCTTCCTTCCAGACCTTCTGCAATAGTTGTATGAGCATGTCACCTGTCATCTCTGTGTCTGTTCTCAGTACTTCTGGCGAAATTCCATCTAGTCCTACTGCTTTCCCACACTTCAGTGACTTTTTGGCTTTCAAGACTTCGACTTTTGTTGGAGGATTTGTGTTCACTGGTAGTTCTGTGGCTAGACTGCTGGTGGTATTTCTGGACGAGTTGCAGGTGGTGGTGGTGGTCGATTCAAGACCTTTCTCAAGTGGTCAGCCAATCATTTCCTTTATCTCTCTTCTTTGCCAATTACATTTCCTTCATCATCTTTTATTGGTTCCATCTGTGTTGATCTCTTCTCTCCCAGGTAGTGACCTGGTTATTTGATACAATGTTGTCAGGTCTCTCTCCCTCTCTCCTACATGCAGCCTGTTCTGCTTCACTTGTCAGTGTGTCGTGTAAGTGTCTTTGTCTTTGTGTGCACCCTTTTTCACTTCTTTGTCCAGTGTTCTATACATTGTACTCAGATTCTCTTCTCGTTGTGCATCCTTGCACTGGTTTATCTGCTGCTTCACTATCCTCCTCTCCTCGTTCTAGCAGCTTCCATGTCCCCATCGAGATCCATTCCTTATCTTCTTTCTTCTTTCTCCCTAATACGGTTGTGCAGGTTTCTTTCCATATAGCTTTCAAAGAGTTCCAGTGTTCTTCCACACAGGTCTCTTCAGGGATGTTGCTCGATATCTCCCATTTTGTCTTGATGGCTGGCTGGCGTGAAGATTTCCTTTGTAGTTTCGTCCTTCAGTTTCTGGGTGCTGAACTTGGACTGTGGTCAATCACCAGCTTCCTTGAATTGAAGGCTTACAACTTGATCTGGAAGGTTCTATGCACTAGGTAGTGGTCTGAACCTACATCTGCTCCTCTTCTTGACCTTGTGTCAAGTATGCTGTGTCTCCACTTTCTTCACATTGAGATGAAGTCGATATGATTTGAGTGTAGTGTGTCTGGTGAAATCAAATCCATGTCGCTTTAGGAATATTCTTGTGTTTGTACACACCGCCTGGCTTCCAACCACCAAATCATTAAGTGCACAGAAATCCGCAAACAGTTCCCCATCCTCATTCATCATTTCACAGAATGCTTCTCGACACATGATGAGTTCCCTTCGTGTGTTGTCCGCTCCCAGTTTGGCATTGATGTCATTTCACCTATTAGTATTTTGATGTCGCCAACTGGACTTGTGTCTTGTCCAGTGCTGACTGCAGTTGTCTGTAGAATTCTTCCTTCTTCTCTGGATCTGCATTATTTGTATGCGCTGCCAGTTTATAACTAACTGATAAAAAATATGTTGAAATTTAGATGCCAGCTATTTCCCATACATTTCTGGTAAATGGACATTCAAAGAGCATCATCCATTCTGGAATGTCTAAAAGGCTTAATTTGACATCATTATTGTGTTCCATAGGAAACTTTATGTTGTATGCGCATCACTGAAATTTCAGTTTTTCTTTTTGTTTATTAGCAGTGCGAATATCGACCAGTAGAAAATTCATTATACTCTTGATCTCTATTTTTGAAAGTGAAAGTAGCAATTATCAGAAATATCAAGGGAATTTTTAGGAATCTCAGGAATTTTTCCTTCTTATTCCTTATCAAAACACTTGAACTCTTATCTAGTCCTGACATAGCAATGCTATTACTATTCCCTTTATTTTTAAATACTATCTGGTGCTCTTTGGACAATGGAATTGGGCAGCGGAATTAGTCAAATAAGGTACAAGTTACCAATGTCGACCACTCTTACTCACATTATACATTTCAATCTTCATACAATGGGAGCATATTAGTTAACTCATAAAATAAACTGTCAGACTGAGCCTTCACACTAATTTTGTCTGTAAACTTTCGCCAGTCAACTTCGTTCATTATCCCTGTTGAGAGGAAGAAAGCGTTTTTGGTAAAGCTTTCTTTCCGGAAAGCTTGCACACAATCACTGCGTTATAAAGCTGTTCCGGAAATTCTTCCATATCTTGCGTTGGTCTTGAATAAAGATGTTTTTCCCACACATGATATTTAAATTAATGGCCAGTTTTTCAAAGACCCTAATCTTCATCTTCAATTAGTCTACAATTAATCTCCGCGATTTAACTCGAGATTTCGCAATAAGTCGAAAGTTTTGTAAGAAGAGAAGATTGCTTGCATGAAAGTGGAGACTTTACGAGGTAGCAGGCAAATCAGCAATACCTAAGGCCTCCCCATCATAAAACCCAAGAAAAGTGACTTACCCATATAAATGTTTCACTGACATATATAATTGTCTCACTATTCTAATTATTATTTTTGTGATTTTAAAAACATGTAATTAATTGCTTTTATCCTTCAGGTTTTAATTTATTCTGAAGTCTATCAATATGTAGGATAGTTCGTTAGTATATTGCCTGTGAATCACATTTGTTTCAAGCAGATAACTTGTTGATCTAAATTAGATATCTATTCAATAAGAAAAATCTCTGGATGTTGATGCGAAATGAAGACACAAACTCATCTACTAAAACTATTATAGAAGTCTATACATTATAGTTTCCTAGGTTGCTTATACTGAAGTATACTAGGGTTAAGTTCAAACGACAGTCAAAATCTTCCTAATATTGCAATGTTCATTTTATAATAAACTTGATTTTCTTATGTTAATCACCACAAAAACTGAATTCGTCTAACAAGGGTATATCAGGCTTATCGTTCACTTTTAAAGGTTACACGATAAGATTTCTATAAAATGATTATCATACTAAGAGACCAGAGTTCTACTGTCCAGTGATGCCTACTCATCGCTAAACCACAACAGGAACATTAATGATGGATCTTGGCTAGCAGGGGAATTCACGATGCACATTTTGTCCTATTTCGGACTCGTCAGCTGGATGTACCTGCCTCTCAGTGAGGGATGTTGTTCCCACCGGGATTCGGACTGGGGAGTGATCGCTCCAAATGTCACAGCGCTATCCACTGCAGGACTGAGCCACGGTAGCCACTTCTTGTGAGACGGGTATAGTTTTTAGCATGATTGTTTTTATATGATACTGTCGTTGCTTGGACCGAATTGATCGGTCTCTATTAATATAATTAGAACGCAGACAGTATCGAGGCATCCACACAGGAGCCCATATGCCAATAAAGACCGATCAATTAGGTCCAAGCAACGACGGTATCATAAAAAACAATTAAACCATAACAGAAACAGTTGTTAGGATAATGTATAATATATTCACTCTGAACTCAGCTATAGATAAAGAACTTAAGATAGTCATGAGAAGTTCATTCATCAAGAAAATAAAAAGATGGAATGAAAAAACTCTGTAGGCAGTCGTAAGTCAGTAAGACACAAAGCAATGATTTTTACCGCCAGTTAACAGCATACCACAGAAAAACTTTGTTATGCAACAAAATATAGTGGTAAGTTATAGAAAAAGCATCCAGAAAGATATGCAGATTATGACCATAGCTCATCAGTTTGCAATGACTGTATAAACTACTTACTTAACTGGGGTCTTGTAGACGATAAGAATATATCGTTCGAGACCCTTAATGATATGGCTCCAAACAAGTTATTGTAACTGAAATGTGCACACTCTCTGTCATCTTTGAAACGCTTAGCATTTTATTAACATATGTTTTGAAGGAAGATTTTAGTGGGGCAAAGTCACTGGAGTTAACTACATGTCCTAGAGTAGAGCTTTTGATCGACTTGTACTGTTTTCTGGATAGTCATGAAGATAATGTTCCGAGATGCGATCGGATAGAACATGCTCTGTGAGGTAAGTGTAACCAATTCAAACGGAGTAGGTAAATTGGTAGACATGTATCTCCGAACAATATGCTGCATGACTGTCTAGAGAAGAGTGAAAACCGATTGAAAGCTCGACTCTTGAAAATCTGGTTAACTCTTCTGAGCCAGAATTTTCCTTCAAAGCCACTTGTAAAGTAACTACCCACATTTCCAGTTCCAGTTACTTGACTTTAATTCGGTTTCGATCTCATTCCTTTTTTCGCATTGTTGTGAAATCCAACAGCATGAACTAATGAATTTCTTCTAAAGATTTTATTATTAAAAAGATTATAAGAATGACCAACCGATACCTTCTACTACTTACTGTCTGTATCATAACTGAAATAATCTAATCTATACCGTTTTTGTTAGACTAATAACCCTCCCAGTCAACAAGCACTGTTGCCTAAAGTTCGTTTATTGTTGATGACTGAAGACCACTCCAAGTCAATGGATTAATGATCAGCAAATGTACAAAATGGTAATCTAGCAATATAAGAATAAAGAAAGTGAAATAGGAATAAAACTACCGAAAATTAAGTCAATCAATCAGCTGCAATAATCTGATCTACTTCCAAAATAACACGAATTTTCAGCCAGTACAACAATTATTGTGATGGAGTAAATATTACAGGCTTTTAAAACAGTACTATCACCGTAATTTAACTTTGAATTAATCTGAAAAAGATGTTTGATATTCGATAGCAAAAATATCTCACCAATAGGCTATGGAACTGGAAGTGTACTATTTTTGAAAAATAGGGAAATCTATTTCATCTATATGAACACCTTTTCAAGAATCATATGTGCTACTTAATAACGCATGTATCCAAAAAAGGTGAATGGTTTCAAAAGGTTTATATGTAACAACGAAGACTGTTTAAAATAACTCCTGGACAGAAAGACGAAACTAAATTTAGTTTTTTTTATTCAAAGCTGATACCTAGGAGGTTATCTGACTGACTGGATGAATTTTGCAATAGGATATCATACATTTCAGAAATTTCAGACGACTAAATATATTTCATTACACTAACTGGCACTTCACCATCTTTTCTATTTTAATAAATATTACAGTGTATTAGAAGAAGTTAGCTCAATTGCAAATCAATTGAAGGAATATGAGAATGGTAACAAAAAGTTCAAGGAACGCTCACCTGATATATCATTTTCAGCGCCCTTTTTCAGACAAATAAATAAAGTATGTTGGAGAGCAACACTTAATCTACTGAGAGATCCATTGGCGTCAGTGATACAAACAGTTGTATATTTATTTTTTGCATTATCAATGGGTACAGTCTATTTTCAAATGAATGATTCCTTGGAATCCGGTATACAAAATCGAACTGGATTATTTTTCTTCTGTACATTACAAGTGATATTTGTAAATTTGGCTACAATTGAGCTATTCATTAAAGAACGTGTACTGTTTATGTAAGTTTCGATTTGTATACGAATTTCTTGTTTGTTTCCTTACCTCAATCCTTTTGATAGTGTAACAGCATGATTACTTTTAGTGTTATTGCTATACCCGTCGCACAAGAAGTAGCTGTCGTGGCTCAGTGATGTAGTGGACAGCGCTCTGGCGTTTAGAGCAATCACTCCCGAGTCCGAATCCGGTGTGAACAACACTCACTGGGAGACTGGTACATCTAGCTGACGAGTCCGAAATAGGATGAAATGTGCTAACCATTACCCATCACTACTATATATGACTGCTTCGCCTATGAAATTACCTAGGTGTTTTTCTTATTTGTGTTTAGTGTAGTTACCTATGTAGTTCGACACTACCTACACCATTAGAGAATTCATCCAACCAGATCACATGAAATCCTCGAAGTTGTTGTTGACCAGATTATATTTCTAAATCACAAACTAGACTGACCCCACATATGCCTTTTAACTGTAACAAAATAGTAGATCTCATTCACACTTCTGGAAAAGAAAATGGTGGAATTTCTTGATGATTAAAGACTACAATTACTCATGGTACTCTTGGATAGAATATTATAGAACTGTAAATCTTGAAGCGGTGGTAAAGAGTTGCTTAACTATTTTGTTATAACTGACGTGAAACTATAGATATAACTCAGAGTAAAGTAGCAACTTATGGCCGGAAATAGCCGACATCAGTCTTCAGCAGTAATCTACAACATCTATTTACGAAACACAAATAAACTCTTCTTTCATAACATATTACATGAATATTACTTAATCACAAAGCTCAAGGTCAAGTATTTGGCGCCATTTTATCCACAAAATTTACGCACTTTTGAATTTCTTGACTATGCCTACATCTGATGCACCATTTACTGAACATTCCTATATCCCAAATAATATCGACTGTACGATTACACATTTCACTTCAAGTACTCTCTCAAAAGCGTTTCTTCTCAATGTCCTTGAAGTTGACTGTCATGAGATGGAAGCCATCAAAGTTTGCTTTTAATCAACGGGATTTTATAATAGCACATTTGTTTAATTATTGTTAGTATGCCGAAGAGTTCATCTACATTTATCTATATGGAAACAATATCAAGTGCAGGAACTGATGGATGCAAAATTTGAAGTCTTGGTACTGTTCTGTGTTTCTGATCCGATATAGTCGTCGTAACCTAAATATCTCTTCACTTGCTACGCCTTTTAAATGACTACGAGACATTAGCTGAATTGAACTCAAGATGAGATGTTTGCAACCCATTAACGAGTAGTCTTTCCCCCTTTCTACGCAAAATGGAAGATAAAATCTTTTGATCTCTATCTTCATATATCTAACACCTGAGTTATTCACATATACAACTGAGTAACCGGTCCACAAGACGCGATAATTCACAAAAATGAAATAACTCACTTTAAACATATAAAATAAAATGAAGCACAATAACTGATTTCACTTAACGTCATTATCTAGGAACCATAAGTCATGACAAAAATGACAACCGTTAATACTTGCCTGAAAATCGTATCTTCGATGGATGCTACTTAGTTGGAGACAATTAGCAGGAAGCTCTGGACCTAGCTTTCATGCTTGTTGCACTCATCAGTAAGGCGAATGTGCAACCTCCATAGAACTAATGTCCCTCTGAAACTCCAACCTGCATCGTTCCGTGTCGTACTCAGCAATGTTACTGGAGAGCTATTCTTGCAGAGAATAAAATAATGTAGAACTGGAATAGATGCAGTGACCGGTCAGTGACAATGTCGCTGACTGTAACACTGAGTGACTTAGTTTCGAATCTCATAGGTGACATCAGTCCCCTCGAGGTTGCAGTTACGTCTGACGAGTGCCAAGAAGCACGAAACCTAGGTCTAGGGCCTCTTATAGAATGCTTCCAGCCACCTAGCATCCATCAAAAGTCCACTGAGATGATAAGCCTCCTGGCTTGGTGACCACACTACAAAATGAGCAACCGAATTCGGTAACCACTCAGGTCTAGACAACATGAAATCAATTGCTCTACAATGACCGATCATTCAGCCTTATTTTCCTTCCTTCAGTCCGTTATAACAAGTTTTTACAAGTACTTAGTTCAATATTTGATAACTGATCACATACTGCAATGAAATGCAGTCAAAAGTAATAATAGTTGATTGTTACAAATTGTTGGTTATTCAAATCTCTGGGTAAAAACTAGATCGCAGACATATCGATGATTACACTAAAAGTGTAATCTTTTAACATAAGGCGTAAATAAGATATCTGCAAGCAATATAAGAGAAACACAGAAGTTTTATTTTATTAGAACATTTTTGTTTTAATCGGACAACTTATACTACTTGCAAGTCGTCAAATGAAAGTCAAAACAATTGTCGATATCATTCAATCTACCTATCTGTTCAGTTACCTAAACTTAAACTTGGCAGCGTGTTTTTTTCTTTTGCTGGAAAATAAAATCAACTTCTAAAATCTTCTTACTTTGTTCAAAAACAAAAAGACGAACTTTTAATGTTCAATGCACCTATGATCACAAAACCAGGTCAGTGTATTCAGATGTATAAGTCTTTCGGTGTCGATAGTGAGCATAAATGGACGAATCAGTCGAAAATGAAGTCCACATAGCAATAATCCTTTAAAGATTTATGACAATATTTATTTCACTAGTCAGTATTCAGATTGTCTGAATAATTTATGTCCACACGAAAATCATTTCAATTGAAACGAATAATATTTCATAGAATAGAAAAATTTCTAATTCCATTTTGGTCCATTTATTAGAAATATCACACGTTGAAACAGTATCACTTACTGGATAACGTTTCGGACACAATTTATTGTCTCTATTCATATCAGGTAACTCCACAACTTTGAGACAGATACAAGACCCTAGTCGACTATTCAGCTTAATCAAGACAAGTAGATCCTAATAAGATGAGAAATTTAGAGAAAAACTCGGATATAGCTCTGCATACAATGACACACAATCACACAGTAGTGTGGGATAGAGTGACGGCATTAAAAACTAACTTCGTTGAGTGGAGGGTGAGTTTGATAACCGACTGAATCTTTGTCTACCGAATCAACACGAAATACGTGCAGCAATCGAAATGATTCTGCACCTGTTCCAGATATATGGAAAATTCTACTAGCCTTGACATCACGGAGAAGGATAGAGAATTAGGAATATATAAAGTCTGTTTCGAAGTTGTGGAGTTAGTTACCTGATATGAATATGTACAATAAATTGTGTTTGAAACGTCATGCAGTCAATGCTACTATTTCACTGTGTGATATTTCTAATAAATAGACAAAAATGGAATTGCAATCGACCACAGTGCCCAAGTTTTACTTCTCTGTTAGCAAAATTTCTACCTAGGATTTTCATACTATGCAACAAAAGCTATCATATCTGTTCCAATTAGTTATGTATGAGCCTATTTGTCTGACTACCAGATTGTCTAATGCTCTTCGTGAAACCTGAATTACATGACAACAACAGAAGAAGCCGTACACCATCGAGTAGCTAATTCTAAAATAGAAAAGAATAACCACTGACAGCTATTTGATTTTTGCGCATAATCTCGTATGACCTTATAATGAAGCCAATCTTCAAATGATCAATTATCAATATATTTTGAAACGAGATAAGTTTTATTTTCAACGTTATATTTAATGGTTTAATTCTCCTATTTCTGATTTCATTTGTAGACATGAAAGTTCAAGTGGTTATTATCAAGTATCTGTATATTTTCTTTCAAAAATTTTATGCGATATATTACCAACTAAAGTATTACCTATAATATTATTTATGCCAATATGCTATTGGATGGCTGGTCTACAGCGAACATTTGGAGCTTTTATGTTTTTGAATTAATTCTGTGCCTTACAACACTAGCTGCTGCAGCCATAGCTTTATTCATTTCAGCTAGTGTTACTGTATTCGGATTAGCAAATGCTATACTATCAATCCTTTATGTATTTATGATGGTAAGTTGCATTCGCTTAAGTCTACACAATTAAATGTTATCTACTTCCTTTTAGAATACCAGTAGAAATTCATTGTTTTAATGTTCTAATGATACATGCTTTTAAAAAGCTCATGACTACTCCAGAATAGTATAACTAATCTTAGTTACATGGTGGAAAGCACAACTTATAAAAATTAGAGCTTTAATTCAGTGCTGGTGTTTAGCTTACACTATGACATAACAGATTTGGAATTTAGTTAACTATCAGTAAATTTTATATTTCCTTGTAAATATCCAATTAAATTTATTGAAAACATAGATTGCCATCTTCAAAAGCTTCAAATTATCTGATTCTATTCTTATCAGAATCTGCAGAAATGTTTTTCATTCAATCTCATACATAATATAAGAAGTGAAAGCACTCCTCTGAAATCTCCATCAAGCAATAAATCAAAGACTGCTTGTTACGAGATCAATCTCAACACAGTAAATGTGTTACCATATCTTAGGAGTAGGATTAAACGTCTCTAAAGCCATCAGCTCTTAAGTATCCACAAAACATTTCTGCTACGATTGGGACTATTGGTGATCCCATCCTGTCTTTCTATATATTTTGTCCTGAAGACTGTGCAGGTTAAGCACAGCTAAACACGTAACATGATCTCATTAACTGACGCCTTATTTTTCTGAGGAAGTTCTGAGTCACTATTGGGCTGATTTCTGACTGCTTCTGGTGCCTCACTGATTGGCATCTTAATATAAAAGCTTGTTACATTGAAGTTAATCCTTTATTCATCCTCATCTATAGGTTGGTCATTCAGTCTTCGTTTTAATCTATAGGAATTAACCAGTCTAGAATTCTAACGGTTTCCATTCAGATACAATCTTGATCCAAAGTACTTGGACTGTTCATATATTGAAGTGTTTCTGAAGTCAGCTATTAGTCCAGTGAGACAACCTGCTATTTATGGTGTTGCATTCTCTGAGCTGGAAGGTTCAGTCGCGAAGTTTTTTCGTTTCCACTTCAGATAATATCATCTGAAGTTTGTGCTGGTGGTGCTGTATGAGCATAGATATTGTATGACAGTAAAAGGTTCATGATTAAACCATCCAGCCCCGAGAACACAATACCATCAAAACCATCCTCCTGAGCTACAAATATTCTCCATCATTTCAAGATAACCTGCTTTATGAACCTCAACATATTGTAAGTTCTACCAGGATTATTAGTCTGAAAGACCAAATTAAGTCATTTGGACTCATCCAGAGATGGCTTCACTCGGTGCATCAGATCAGCTGTAGATTTCTATGTCGTGTTCATGATTTTAGCTATAGGTTTCTTAATGTGGTCTTGTTTGGATATATTTGCTTGATTTTCTCGAAGTAATTTATCCACAACTATTGTTGAATTAGCTTCATAGGAGCATGGCAAATACGATGTTATTATTACTTCGTAGATTATTTAGAGCTCATTTCTCTTATCACTGTAAAAAACAAGATTAAGAAATCCTCAGCTGATATGCCAACTTAAGCTGTCTCTAGGTGAGTTCGAACAGTTTAACTTACTGCTTAAGACTAACAATCCTAGTAGGATTTACAGTACTATTAAGATTCATACACCAGGTTATCTCATTAGCCCGATAGGTGACTTCACAAACACATGAATAATTTATGCTCAAGAAATCACCAAATAACACTGTGTCACTCTATGCCATATCGAGTAAACGAATATAATTCCGAATGTCGTGGTACTGGAAGAAATAAAAATACAAAAGATGGTGGATATGAATATTGAGAGAGGGAGAGACAGAAAAAGAGACGTTAAGTGTTTACACTTATTGACTGAGTCCAAATTAGTAACAATGTTTGAAGGACGTAAGTTTAAAACTTAGACACTGTGGTAGAACGTAATTCTATATTATATTTGATTGTTTGGCATAGGACACACAGTGTATCAAATAATATGTAATGTTTGAGGGAGCTTCTTTCGAACACAATTATGATTTCTTCAGATATAAGACAAAAGCTTCTGCAGTGCAGAGAGGATAGAAACGAGCCATTTCCGGCAAATTTCTTGCAGATGACTTTGAACACCAAATCGATTGAGACACTGTAACCAATGTTAACAAGGTATTCCTTCACTACACCTCTGATGGATCCACTGATGCTTTATTGCAATCAGGTGAGGCCAAAGTTCCCCAACAATTTTTGATAAGAACGCGTATCCAATGGTTTACATACCTGGCTCCGTAGGAGTATGTGAATTGAAAACACAAATAGAACAACATCATGTGTAGAAGTATAACTTTAAGGTTAGCAGGTTTCATTCAGTGACAAGAGGATACCACCCTTAAGATTGACGCGAAGAAAGTTTTCTTTAACAAGTTAGAAATTGTTCCTTTCAGGAAGGATATCAGCGTCGAAATCGCCTTTGAAGTTCACATTCGTGCATAGTATCTTCTTGGGAGCTCAAATGGATATCTCTCTTTGTGGTTCGGATTTTATGTTTTTGTCAAAAAATCATGCTGGCCACCTATTTTTTGCTGAAAATTTTTTCAGAAATGTGATTTCTTCTTCCAAGCGATCAGTACTGCAAATATGTGGAATATGGTGGGCAAGGAACACGTTAAGTTTATTTTCAACTTATATATACCTAACTATAGAAGTTAGTCAGGTGACCATTACATACAGATTTTCCGTAGGCACCATTATCTCGTCTGGTCAGTTCTACATCCAAAAACGAAATCTTTGAAATCCTTCCTTCACTGATGTTTGACAACTGTTAAATATCATTATGATTTGACTATCTAAGATAGCCGTAGGTTGGCAGACTAGTATTTGTACTGGCCGTGGTCCAGATTTTCATCTCACCTTCAACCATCACCCAGTACAAACTGCTAAATACTCGTAAAATATAATTTCGGTCACAATCACCAAAGCAAATTATGAAGGCATTGTCAACATATGTCTCGTCAACTATTGGTTATAGACTTCCGATCTCCAAACTCGTAATGAAACTACCTAACATTAGCGGAACAAGTCAAGAAGTCAGAACAATCCCATCTTTTTGCCAGTAAATTAAACTGTTAAATAAAACTTGAGGGTTGAAGGTGCATCTAAGCAGCAGTCCTTTTAGGCATGAGGTGGATATCCCAATCTACAAATATTGTCATCCGTATACTTACACAAGAAACAGATCATTTCTGTTAAAAGCATGTTAGTGAAGATAGATTCCACATCGAGTATTAACATACGCTTTTCAGTCACATTCAATTCTTCTACGCACCTGATAAATTGAATGGTGTGGGGGGTAGGGTAATTGCATAGTCGTCTCCTTATAGACTCTATTTTAAACTACCATTCAGTTTCATTCACCGTAAGAAAGGTGACGCTTTTCTTACTTAATAGTTTATTTTATCAAAACAAACTAACTTCGTTTTATTTAGTGGGTTGAAAATACCGTTAGTTTTGAATAAAGGAAACACAATAAGTCGATTCACGATGCTTTAACATTGTCACTTTTATTAACCTCATAGAAGTGTTGCGATAGAAATAAATTTACCTTAGTATTTATTACTTACACTTATAGTCCTGTATATTTACACTGATTCAATCCTACTATTTATTCAGAATCCTTTCAAACATTCAAAGAATCCACACAATTAATGCTGAGTGGAGTCAATTTCTGAAGGCGAAAACATCCTTATCTCACCAAAGTCTAGTAGTACGGATAGTTTTATTATTTTTTTTCCTGAATAGGAGATGAAATCTATTTGTCTTAACCCTTAGGAAATAGATCTGAGGTTTAAAATAAAGAGTATACAGCATCGGTAGTTGTTGAAGACTCAAGTGATACAATCTGAAACTTTTTGAAATGATTGTTCTTCATCTCTGCAATAATTTAGTGTTCATCGTTAATTCAGCTTCTTGACTCCTCTCCTACATGTGCCAAAATATGATGGGATAGATTAATTATTGCCGCATTATAAACTTCGCAAGATACAACAGGTTATGTGCCATCGTGATCATATAAAAGTCATCCATTCTAGCCATAAAGTAGGGTACCTTAAATTAGTCAATGAAGTAAACGTGAAATAGTCAGGGATAAATCTAGTTTACTCACTATAAACATTTATCTCACAAAAGTTTTATCATTGTATGCATATCATTGATAATTATATCGCATTTCCTGCGGGGTTATTATCATCATCCACACACTTGCTCAGATTAGATCATACATTGTTAAAAATAAACCATACACTCTACTGTTGCCTTCATTCTACATTTTGCGGAATAAGCAAGAACCGTAGGATGAATAATAATTATTTGTACTTAAACATCATACACTCATTGTGAAAGCATATATTTATGGTTTTATAAACTTTAGAATCAAAATTTTACCTGATAAAGTTGAACCATTTAAGCAGTGGATAAGATTATGAATGAAATATACCTGCAAATCCCAGTTATATAGAAAAATTAATTTCTGACATTTCGCGATCTCGTGGAAGTCGCCTCTTCAGAGAATAAAACCTGTACAGGTGATCATGTTTAAATAGTAAATGATGGCAAATATGATCACATTGTTCATACATGACAATAATATGGGAAATTTCGTCGTTATCAGTCCGTGAGTTCAAGGTGAAGACATGAATAGGTGTGCACATGTGAATAGGTGTGAAGGTGTAGTAAAAACACTATAGGTAAATAATGCAATTTGTTTGTGTGTATATACTTCAGTTATGACTATTGTGCATAACGTATTATTTCGAATATACTGTTCAAGGCTGTTGGGTGGTACCCACTATATTTTTTTCATACCGATTCACATGAGAACACATATTCACCTTGAACTCACGGACTAATAACGATATTCATTCCCTTATTATTATCATGCATGAACAACATAATCTGATTTGTTTCCACTTACTATTTAAACATCGCACAACAAGTGGTTATTGTGACTCGGTGGTCTAGTGGATGACGTTCTGGCATTTGAAGCAATTGGTCTTGAGTTAGAGTCTTGGTGAGAACAAAACCGCTCACTGGGAGGCAGGTATGTTCAGTTGACGAGTCCCAAACAGGACGAAACGGCCTTCCTGGATTCCACTGCTAGCCACTATTCATCATTAAGAAAGTAAAAGCTCCTAAAAAGTTATAACTGTGTATAGTAGGTAAGCGCTCTGGAAAACGTTTTAGCTGTTCACTTGAAACTGTCAATGAAATCAGCCTACTTCAGTTTAACGTTACTTTTTACTACTAATCTTAATTGCAATTCTTCGTACATTTCTCTCATTTCCTTTAGGCTTTTTCGGGTTACTTGATCAATTTAAAATCTATGGCCGGCTGGCTTAGTTGGCTTCGTTACTTCTCTTTATTTCGTTACAGTATGGGTGGATTACTGGCTATGGAAATGACTCCCCTTCAGTTTTGTCCTATGGATAAATCCAATACAACGCTTCATAGACAATGGTATAACTTATTTACCAGTTATTTAAAAATATGCCCTTTTTTGAACATATAGTTATTTTGACCTGAAAATCCAAACAGACGAATTTTCTCTGCCTCCTGATCGAAGCGATTTCACCCTTCGCTTGTATACTGTTGTTGAACTTGACACGATAGTGCTTTTGTGCCATGTCTTTACGAACGCAAAAGTAGCAATAATACTCATCGTAGTGACAACTATGATAAATTAGGAAGGAATCCTTCTTCATAAATTCCACATAGTTGTCTATTCCATTGACCAAACTTACATGCGATGTATGATGTAGAATGTTTGCTGTAGCTGCGGTTGGATTATTGGGAAACAGCATGGTTATTACTTTGAATGACAACTAAGTCCGGTTTTAGGAAATTCAAAACAACTAAAAGTTCTGTGCCTTACACTAATTAATAGTTATACCTCCTGGAAAGCTGATATAATGAAATAGGTTTGATCCTCAGAGAGAAAATGATGGCAACTCAAGTGATGGGTGTCTCTTAAAGCTTACTTACTCTTTCCATAACTTCCTTAAGTCAATTAGCACTTACTGCTGCCTATAAGTAGGAAACAAAACGAGACAAAGTCTACATTATCACCTAAAGATAAACAGATATTTCAGATTTAAAGATAAGCAGTAAATTTGGGAATAAATCATCACATTTTTGTCCAATCAATACACATGGTTTTTATGATCTCTAAAAGGCTTGAAAACACTACCGAAATCTATAGCTCAAAGACATTGTACACCCTCCTCTTTAGGTAGATAATCTTCCAGTCCGATAAAGTAGAGAATGATAGCTGCCACCTCTGTATTTATTCGAAGTAAAAATAGAAAGCAATATGATAAAATTGTGGAAAACAACAGGATTGTGTGGTAATTATTCTGAATGAGGTTTTCGGCAATATATCATTATAAACGAAAATAACCTGTCCCCAGGTATAATAGGAACACTTAACATGGTCTACACAAAAATGTCAACCATACAAAGAATTTATATCCGGAAGATGGGGTTATATGACTTCATTTTATCGCAAACTTCCTTAATATAATTAGAAAGCATTATCAGATAACCCCACAAGAGGTAGTTAGTATACAATAATATCGCGCCTATCTATAAAAGGTTTCTCAAGTATGCACCAACTGATAAATAAATAAATGGTATCACGTTTCTTTTGAAGTTCGAAGTTCCACTAAGAACCCAGGGGACATATTAAACAATAATCGCATTTTCTAAGTAGACAAGAAATACAGTAACGACTTTGGAATGAACTATTTTCAGACGAAGGCAAGAATTGCGTATTGGGCAGTAAAACAGAATAAATCCATTTCTTGCTAACAGCTGTGCATAGTATATACGCATTCAACTTTACAAATGGATCAAATTTGTCCAAAAATTATCATACAATCTACTTGATGATTGGGTGGTGTAAGTTTCTGCACCTGATTAGAATTACTATAAATGTTAGCTCATCGCCAATTTCATCAAATAAAGACGCTTTTTAAATTTATAAGTTCGCGAACGACTGGATATTGCTAAGTTAAACCCTGAATATTTTCCTAGCCCATTTTTTTTTAGATGAAACGGCTAAACATACCAAAATACGACAGTCGATAATTGCTACCTTTTTATGCTTGGTGCTTCAAATTTCCTAAAGCAAACAACAAATAACTTAAATGAAAAAAATCAGAAGCAACATCAGTAGTGTATTGTGAAGCTAACGGGGTTTTTATTTTTAATATAGTATTCATCACAGATTGATATCAGCCGGAGAACCACTTAAAACCTGGAGGCACTTGATAGCAGTATGCACCAACGACCAGGACAAGCATCAAACCCAGGACCTTCATGTCACATGGCTAACATGTCAGCTAGTCAGTCACTGGGTCAAAGTTCAATGGTGGATAATTTCCCACTTCTTACAATTCAGAAGTGAAGTGGATACCAACCGAAAACCTTGAGTGATAATCACATTATATTCCAAACTCTAACGCAGTGGCCACTGTGAGACTTGAGGTTCCTTCGTTCGATCCCTAGCGGGGTCATGAGTACGTAATGCTGAGATATCCTATACTAGGACGAAACAGATGTCTACTGTTGACAGGTTTTCAACTATTCTCCGACTGATGCCAGTTCACGATAAATACTGTCTTAGTGATACCAATAATCTAAAGATAACACTGAAAAAGTGGACTAATTCATGTTTATGAATTAATTCGTTTTTATGGCAACATAGCCTTCTTTTCATGTTACTTACTTCACAACTTTACTTTTAGTCAAAATGGTACAACATACTTGGAAGATCAAGAGATTCCTTATAAAACTTCATGGGATTTATGGTATAATGTAGTCGGAGAAGTGATCATTTCGATCGTCTTTTATATATTATGTTATGTCCAACTTCGACTAATCAACAAATATAAGTGATGTGCAATAATGGCTAAATCAATTATTTTACTTGTTTTCCCGACCATGTCAATTAAGAACAGGAGACTTCTACTATGCATGCAAATCACAAAGGAATAAGAAAGAGAATTTCAAGTCAATTTCACAATTCTAGTCCTTATTTAACAGTGTGGATTCAAATGTCCATTTATCAGCTATGTTATGATATTTGTATAAAGAAACCCGTAAGATGCAAGTTAAACTTCAGCTAGAAGTGTTAAGATAAATTTATGTACATAAACAACCTTGTTGATTTGTGGCCTTTTCTGTGATCATGTTTTGATGATACATATCTACCACATTTTACACTCTTCTTTAACTGGTATTGAAAATATACACCATAATTGTACAAAAGTTTGTTTCATATTTACTACCTTTTTTTTACCCTGATAATAAAAATGACTTAGCAAAAGGTGACCTAGGTAAAACAAGAAGACATTAAATGATGTTGCTTCACTACTAAATATGTTACTTAACCAGTTATACACGTTGAAATCATGACTTCTGAAGAGATAATATGAATCCAATGCAACAAAGAAGTTAAATGTATACATGTATAAACGCTTTAAACAATTATTTCAGGGTTAATCTCAACAGTTTATGCTCTCCAACTAAATGAGAAAATTATGCAAAGGAGGGATAATGTATGGCACAAAACTGAAAAACTCCTAGAAATCTACTAAGGTAAAGAGTAAATTGGAAAAGAACTTTTAAGAAGAAACCGGTTTTCATTCGTCCGAAAATCAAGAGTATATTAGACATCCGAAGTTAACAGATACACAAACAAAAGGTGAACTGCATCTATGTGAACGTTTACTGTCAACAATACGGGTTCATTAACTCAATCTAAAGTAAGTAAATACACTGTTGATGTCAACTGTAAGTATACTCAGTAATACACATTTACTTGCAACAGACCGGTAGATGACGGATTATTATTTGTCCCTTGGGTTCCTAGTGGAACATACCGCTTCAGTAGCACTTCATTTCACTCCCTTCTCTGCACTCTTCTCAACCTGGCTCCACAACTGCCCACAACCTCTCATTTCTCCCTCACACCATCTCCTGCATGTCACCCTCGGCTCAGACACCCAACTTGACGTTTCCTATGCGGGTTCCACTCGACGACCTGGCCTGATGCGTGATGTCCCCGAATGGTCTTCTCAGTGTATGTCCAATCCAATCCATCTCCACTTTCTTTTGTATATTTGTTGGGTGATGAGTTCTTGGGTGGTTCACTGTCAGGCTGAAGTTCCTTGTTGCTTATTCTTTCTGGCCTTCTGATCTGATCTTTAGTGTCGAGTCGGCGTGGGCGGCAGCTGTTGATGAATGTCTGCAGTTTGTTGGAAATGCTTCTTGTGACGCACCAAGTTTCTGAACCATCATATAAAAGCACTGACATCACATAAGTCTTGAAAATTCAGATCTTGTTTTTTATGCTGAGTGTAGAAGATCTCCACACTGATTTCAGGTTAATGAAGGCCTGTCTTCCTTTTCCGACCCTAGCTTTGACACCCTCATCTGTGCCGCCGCCTGTAGTTGAAACGATGCTGCCTAGGTAGGTGAAAGAGACTACTTCCTTTAGGCTTCTCTTGTTGATGGTGATTATTGTTGTTGTTGCTGGTGATTAGGTATCTTCATCACCTGTCTTCTCTGCGTTCACAAGAGGGAAGTCCCGTCTTCGCTGCCTCGCCTCTTCTGTCAATTTGTTGGTTTTTACCTGTTGATCTTCAAGTTTGTGCCACAAGACATTTGGTATGAATCATCTTCGGCGAAATCCAAATCTTCTAGGCTCTTTTCATCGGTCAAACAGCGTATACCCATCTTATCGCTCCTCATAATTGTTTCTTGCATGATCCAGTCTAGTCGACAACAATCACGAAGATCATCGGTGCTCTATTCTATGATGATGCGTAGCGTTGCAATTTGAACCGCACATGCTCCGTTCTTCCTGAAGCCAGCCAGCCAGTCTGTTGCAGTCATAATTTTGAATGCAGAGCATTTTTCAGTCTCTCCAGGATGGTGCGGCATAATATTTTGCTCGGGGTGGACAGAAACATGATCCCTCGCCAGTTCTTGCAAAGACTTAGGTCTCCCTTCTTCGGGAGATTGACAAGGTAGCCCATCTTCCAATCGATCTGCAGGTACCTTTCCTTCCTTCCTTGCAAACCTTCTGCAGTAGTGGTGCGAGCATGTCCACTGTTGTTTCTGAGTCTGTTGTCAGTGCTTCTGGTGGAATTCCTTCTGGTCCTACTGCTTTCCCGAATTTCAGCAACTTTGTGGCGTTAAGGAATTCACTTCTGCTTTTGTCGGAGAGTATGTGTTAACTGGTAATCCTGCGGTTGCTAGTTGTGTTTCTGCACGAGTTACAGGTGGTCGATTCAAGAGCTTTTTGAAGTGGTCAGCTCATCGTTTCTTTTGTTTCTTCTCTTTAGTAACTAGCTTTACTTCACTATCTTTGATTGCTTTCATCTGAGTCGATCTCTTCTCTCCCAGATGGTAACCTGGTTACTTGATATAGCGTTGAGAAGTCTGCGACATTTCTTTGTCCAGTGTAGTGTTTTAGATGTTGTATTCAGTTCCGCTTTTTGTTGTTCATCCCTGCACTGTACTGCACTGGTTCATCTTCTACTTCACCACCACCATCTTCCTCTCCCTCCTCTATCAGCTACCATGTGTCCATCGAGATCCATCCCTTGTCTTCTTTCTTTCTCCTTCCTTACACGGTTATTCAGGTTTCTTTCAATAACTGTTTCAAACAGTTCCAATGTTCTTCCACGGAAGTTCCTTCAGGGATGTTGCTCAATGTCTCCAATTTTGTCCTAATGGCTGGCTGACGTGAAGACGTCCTTTGTAGTTTTGTTCTTTAGTTCACTTTCTGTTCTGGGTGTTGAACTTCAACTATGGTCTATCACCAACTTCTGTGAAGGCTTCCAACCTGATTTTGAAGGAAGGTTGCTTGCACTAAAAAGTGAGTGGTGTGAACCACCTACATCTGCTCTCCTTTTTGATCTGATCTTGTGTCCAGTTGCCTGAGTCTCCACTTTCTTCACATTGAGATGAAGTTGATCTGATTTTTAGTGTGATCTGGTGAAGTCCATGTCACAAACAATTCTCTATTCTCATTCATTTCACGCAGTGCTTCCCGGCCCATGACGAGTTCCCTTCCTGTGTTGTCCGTTCCGAGTTCTGCATTGGTGTCACCCCACTCACTAGAATTTTGATGTCGCTAACTGGACTGGGGTCTTGTCCAGCACTGATTGCAGTTGTCTGTAGAATTCCTCCTTCCTCTCTTCATCTGCATTATTTGTAGGTGCATAGCATAGCATTGCATAGTTGTAGTTTTCTTTCCTAGTGATTTGGATATGGCTGTCGTGATCCTGTAGGAGGAGATTGGTTCCCACTGCACGACAGCCCTCCATGCCATTGGAGACATCACGATAGCCACTCCGAAACTCAGTGTGCTCGTGGTTGTCGTCTGCATGATAATATCGGAGTAGACTATTGACTCTCCAGTTGACAGTTTGGAGACTCCACTTCCATTCCACCTGCTTTCGCAGTTTCCTTCCATTTCTATCGTATAACTTCTCATCTCGTTTGCAATCTGAACAGCCTTGCTAGGTCCATGAATGGTGCGGACATTCCATGTCCCCATGCTTATTTTCGCTTTCATCGAGAGAAGAAAAATCGGCCAATTGGCTTCCCGAAGGCACCAACCGGCGTTATTTCGTCTCTCCGATTCCAGTGAGGAATAAGTTTGTTTTCATTTTTTATATTTTGTCAGTGTGGTTTAGCGGTTGTATTGGCTTTACGGGTAGGGTTGCTAGCCTTATGCCCAACCTTCTCTCTTTACCCAGGCTTAAGACCAACTAGTAACTAATGAACTAGTTAACCAGGCGAGGTTGGTAGATTACGGAAATCCAACATTAAATAGGTAACTCTTTATTCTTCATGGCGATAAACGAGTATTTTCAACCCAATAATGGTTTACAAAACAAGACTAGTTAATCTCTCTGTACTTTGATAACCCCCCACTGTCTTGGCTACACCATCCTTGTGTTGTTATCTGTTGATTTCCAATCACAGATAGTTTGATTTTTCTATAGATAATTACGTCTATATAATTTAGTTGGTGTTGGGCATCTGTGTCAGTTGACAGTTTTTGGTTGGACTACTTTTCTCCTCAAAACGTTTAAATTATCCATACCATCAGATTAAAATTTTCATTAACGTTGGCTACGGTTTCTATATCTTAGATTTACATCTCACTGACTCAATATCATCTTTCTTGGCCTCCGCAATAGGGCTGTTCCAAACACAAATATTTTCCCTCCGACAAATTCATAAACTTTTACAGCCAAAATTCGCATTCTGTGGTAGCATATTTCTACTGCCTTCCTAATTTCATCGTTATTATTTCTCTGAACGAATTTTTCCAGCCTAACCTAGTAACAATATTAAAAATCACAACTAATACTCGTAAATAACGCAACTCAGTGTACCATAGAAGTTTATGAATCAGATTAAGAATCACACATGTGAGGGTTTTTATATTTCTGTACCGTTCGCTTATTAGTATATGTACCGTCAAAGGGAGTATATTACTACCTAGACATCCAGGTTGAAGCGGGGTGAGTGGGTTTGAATTCATGCTTCATCGAGTGATACTTGGATGTACAAAACAACAAAACCGCAGCTAAACGACAAAACGTAAGTGGAGAAAAATCGTAATGAAATACAGTTTATTATGCAGTGAAAATGTACAAAGAGAAGAAACATGAAGATTTATTCGCCCTCGTTGACCAGCATGTTTGGAATTCCATTTGAAATAGTAAACTCACGCCCGGTTTCTGGGCAAACCAGTACACCCTCCATTATATCGACTTCAAGCAGTGCTCTATGAGCTAATTTCAAAAACTCTTCATTTTCTGAATAGTCAGATGGAACTTCATGAGGCAGACAGGGAATATATTCTTCACCAATCTGTTAAACAGTAAAAAATAATATATATCTTACTTCATCTGCCACCGACTTTACAACAGACCACTCAACTTTTGGTATTAAACGTGCAACAGATGACGGATCGTAGTCGACCGTAGACACTTTCAACTCCTTGGCCTAAAATCATAATTGATTCAGCAATAAGTAGAATAACCTTCAGCTGCAAGGGATAGCCCACTTTCACAGCCTTCAGTACACGAGAAGTAAGTATGTTGTGCAGGAAAAGTTTCATACTGATCAGTATGTACGAAGTTTGTGTGGTTTTCTATCAACAGGAAATATTGGCTTTTGAAACAAAAGAGGACAATTTATGAAGTCAAGACAGAAACACCAACATGAAAAAAATATTGAAAACATGAGTAGCAGGACTCCAAAACCCACGATCTAGGTACTAGATTCTTGAACAAAGTATGGAAGTTCACAATTCCTAGAGGTTTGACTAGTTTCAGAGACTGACAGACAGGATTAACACAGGACCAGGCACTACTGCGTAACGGTTTAATTTGTTAAACCCCAGGTCAGCACATTAAACGAGAAAGCACTAAGATGATAGATAAAGTAGAGAAGATAGCAATCGAAAACGGCAGACAGTTGCGATGACATAACAAGGAGCAATGAGAAAATATTGAATTCAAGAAGATAATTCAGAGTAAAATCATGTATGAATACATCTGAGCCAATCAGATCGATTCTGAGCCACGCCAACGGGTCTGCAATCTTTGGTTTCTGTTGTCCAACGACTACCAACTGAGAAGTCTACACCCCCCTACATGTTTTAGACTGATGGTCAAATATTTCACCCACTAGTGTTATTTTTAGTCTGGTCACCCGTAGCCCTTTCCAGCCAGTCTACTTCAGCGAACACTGCACGAGACAGATGGTGACTAGGCATGGGGAACATATGTCCCAATCACATGAGTCAATGAAGGTCCACAGCTGCGTTAATTGATTTCCCCACCGAAAAATCTATACCTGACTCCTACGTTATTGACGCGGTGACAGCAAGATACACGACTTATGCTACGAAGGCAACGATGATCAAACCCTTGAAGCCTTCTTTTATCCTCTACCTTTAATGGCTATGTTTCACATTCAAATATTTGAACAGAATGAACTGCAGCGCAGTACACTCAACTTTCAAGAGACAATCAGATATCACGGTAGTGCCATAAGTGGCGTAAGTTGGTGAAACCTAATCAAGCCTTATGTATGTATGCAGAGATCTTGTCGGTCACTATCTAACCAGGGTCGATCCGACTTTAGAAGTAAGTGAAGTGGTCGACATGTCCAACTATCTCACTTTCAATTGTTAAAAAGGATACCAGTAAAGACCAGTCCTGGAACAACAATTAGCATTTGGATGGCGAGAAACGCATCCCAAATATTCTAAACTTGCTGTTCAAGGTGTCGAGAAGATTGCATTTTGTCAGGGTCCATACATAAAGACTATGTCATCCGCTAACTCTAGATCTACCAAGGATTCCTCCGTGATAAGGTCAATCCTAGTGAAGTCGCCTAAGTAGAGAGAGACCTCCATAAGTACATCCGATAAACAATAAGAATGGACACCACTCGACAGACACAATTCAAATGGCAACTCATCATAATTTCTAAAAGAGTGATATATTTGCTCTCCATCGTCCTCAGTTACAAACTCACCTAGACCCCTAGACTGACGGAGGCAAATGCTACCTTTACGTCACGAAATATAGCTAGTACCAGGAACCAATGTGTGTGTGTGTTTCAGAACCTGGTGGAGAGAGAACACCTGGTCGATGCAACTACCCCGGGGTCCGAAACCTGCCATGTTCTGTCTGAATTACTGCTGTCGAGCTTTGCTTAGGCGTCTAATTGCAGAAGCTAGAATCTTAAACACTTTATCAGACTGATTTTCCTGTGGTCATCACAAGAGGACTCCTCGATTTCCTTGAAGACTAGGATAATCAGTGATTAGGGCTAATCACAGAGGATAATATCTGATTTCCACACACTGCCTAGCACTCTAGTTAGTCTGATCAACAATCGATGACCAACGTCCTTAAATACTTCCGATGCCAATCCATGTGTGCTTGCTACCCTTTCCCGTTTCGGATGACTTACAGCTTTCTCGACTTATGAAAGTGTCATAGGTACCATTTCAATGTTCCATTTAGGGTCCGATTGAATAGCGAGCAACGCGATGGTAGCTGGAAGTCAGTTTAGTTTTCCCTCGAAGGGTTAGACTCATCATTCCAGTCGTCTCATCTACCAGTGAATCGCAGACCAATCCTTTTTCGTTATAGTCTCACTAACCACTGACTTTTGTCATAGTTTCCTAGATAAATCTAAATAACTGTCTATTGTTACCTATAGCTGCTGCCTCTTCCACCTTAGCTTTCGCTACCCACCAATGTTCGCGATCATTGTGTAAACTTAATTGCTTTCACTCCTTATTTTGCTTGGCAGTCGAAGGGAATGTGTTCGTTTGCATACATTCATTTAGATATTGCTAAAACCCGCCAGCCCTTTCTAACCACTATCGAAGAATCAGCTAGAGCCTTCACCGCTGTTTTTACAGTAAACTGGAGATGGCGTCAGGCTACTTCTGGATGAGTGATGTTCTGTTGCGATAACTGTTTACCCAGTTTCTCGCTGAATGTATCATGTAAATCTGCACTTGCAGTGGTCTTGTTGCCATAGTTTTACTACGTCTATTTAGGTGCAGACACATGTTTAAGCCAGCGCGTGGAAGATGTCTAAACGCGTGCTTCAGAAGGGGCGGCAATCTCCCACCGACCCTCTCCAGAGGTAACTGATAGCAATGTCTCTGCCCACAGATAAGTTGCGGTGGACGCCAAGTCAATGTCTTCCTTTATGTCTGAGGTTCGTTCTGGCCAGAAATAAATGACCTTTTGAACACAGTTGTGGCAGGCGATCATCATTTTCTGCTCGTTTAGCTGGGATTTCGAAAGCGCCACCTAAGTGCTTTTCTGCTTAATTTAGTCTACCAACTGGTGAATTAAAATTAGCTGCAATGACAACAACATCTCACCGTCTAGCTTTCCTTAAGAGGCTAGATAGTTTTTGGTAGAAATTATCCTTCACTTCATCCAAAATGCATTCAGTAAGTAAGCGTAAATTATGACGGGATAACGCCGAGTTTCACTACTCTTTTTAGTTCTCACTGTGCTGTTCAGTTGAATAGGGCATAAGTGAGTGTCAATTGGGACTCAGTCGAGCAGTGCACTCTTTGCCTTAGCAATTAATGCTATACCTACAATTGCAAGTCCGTGAAAACTAACCATAACGTCAAAGAATAAACTTTGCATAGTCACCATATTGGCCAGGTAATGTTGAGAGAGGAAAAGCACTTTGATCCTATATATATGTCACACGCACACAGCACGTATCTATGGTCCGAGTTGCTAGGGTCTTGGCAAGTGAAGCTTGTTTGTCGATTTAACGGAGGGTGTAGACAGTGAAAGCTTCAGTGTCAGTTGGAACACGGCTCTTTAGACTAATGATGCTGTCTTATGAACTCATATAGCTGTGTACTTTGACTAGTTTCCGTAGGCTTGAAAATAACAAAATAAAACCGATTTCGAAATAAAAATGCTTGATTCAAATTTCAGGTCAAAGTATAACCACTTGCACGAAGACGAGAAAGACATGCAGGTAGTGCCTAAACAATTTTAGATAAAAAACACGGTGGTGATAACTACTTATGTTGTAACTCAATTTCTTAGGCATATAGCTGTAACTACATTAAGGAGATTATATGTGCTTCGGAGTTGAAAAGACCACCAATACTAGTTAACTTCTTGTCACTTACTAAAAAAGACTCTCAACTACTGCATAGTTGAGAATAGTCAGTCATTTCAATAATGCCTACACTACCTCAGTCACCGCACTCTATCACATAACCAAAACTGATTCATTTACTAAATTATGGTGGGTAGAGCTAGCAGGAGACGACCACAGGCAGATTTAGGTAATAGACAACGTACCACACTTATGTGAGGGATGATGATGACACCCAGCTGCATCAAAATCATTAGGAAAAGGGAAGATCGAACTTTTAACCTAGTGACTGAAGGTAAACTATTTGAATCAACAACCTATTTCTACGATAATACTGCTATAACCGAAGCTTTCAACTTGAAATCTAGACCCTTACGTAGTTACTCAGTTGCATGGCTTCAATCTTTAACTGAATTCAATCGACTTCCTAGCTCACTAACACGATGATAATGTGGAATGCAATGGCATAAATTGTGCTCAAAGAATAAGAATACATTTAGTTTGAGAGTTGTTGGGATACTCCTAGTGCACAAACTAGGAACAGAGATATATGATTTCGAATAGCTACAATACACATCCATTATATGGTGGTAGTGAAAAAGAGGAAAGATAAACGTATGGGAATTTAGTTGAAAACCATGGGACGAAAATAACTGCAGTCAAAACGAAAAGACAAGTATGATACAACAACTAAGATAAAGGTGTAGGTGCATCTGTAGGACTGAGACTGATTTGGCGCTACATTATATAGTTTCCGAACATCAATTCCAACTATATCCATAAAAAGCTGTGCACTGTGGTGAGAATCGATTTGTTATAAATATATTTTTAGTGAGTATTTACACTTTTTAAACATTCATTATAAGTTTAGTTATAATAAATCGATCAACTTCAAGCGTCTAGTAATAACGATTGTTCGTGCATTAACTCGGCCAACTACCACTTAGTGAGTCAAGTGTTTAGACAATTTGCAATAAGAAGCCTGATTAACCAGGTAACTGTTTTGGCCGTCAAACAATGTGACCATTTGTGTAGTACATAAACTCGTACATTATTGCAGGAATTTTTCACTTTCATTTCACACTGTACAAGAAGAGACTGAGTGGTAACATGATACGAACAAAAAGATATGGTTTTCTTGACAGGAAGCGAAATGAGATTGACGACGTAGAGTAGTAATGGTCGGATACACATAATGTGGCTTTAAAATTGGGCAATACAGGATGACATAAAAATGAACATGGACCAAACAATAAGTTGCACCAGTAATGAGAAAATTCGTTGGTACTAGATTCGGTTCCATACTAAGTAATGAATAAGTACTAATAATATGAAGGGAAGACGGACTACATCCTCTCCGAAAGCCTAAATAAACACCATGTACCCAATGTACAAAGTGGCACGCATTTTTTCATTTCGTTTAACAAGAGGTGAGCATGCCATTCCATTCACATGACTTCTGTCCAACCTTCCCTCATGTGGGAGGAATGCCGGGTGGTAGGGTTTATCCAATCAGTTCTATTGGGGAGAGAACAAAGAAACCATGAGGAAATAAAACAATCCACCCTTTTTTTTCAGGGTCCATGCTTCCCCAGAATTTCCCGAAAATCAACTGAGTTCCCTTTACCGTAAGTCCATCTACTCAGGTCCAACTCTTCTCGAAACTATCTACTTGAAAATCAAGTAAAACTTGTTTATTCAAGGATTTCAATCCATTAACTTCTCCACGGAAGCAACGAGGCTTAGAAACTAAATTAAGTTTATTGAACTGAACGTTTTGAGTTATAACTACTCATGACGTGCTGTTTGTCAGATAGGGACACGTTAGCTTTTAACATCCTGAAGCATTCACTGTTATTCAACACTTACACTGTCAGAATAACTGCAAGACTTCTACAATTACTCGAAGTATTTTGCATTCTTTGGACTTTAACTGAAACCTGCAGCTTTCTGAAATAAAATTAATATCCAAGTGAAATTTGGAAATCAACTGGAATTTCCAAATTTATTATTGGGAGACCAAAGGTGAGAGAACAATTAAGAAATAACACGATCCAAGAAATTACCGAAAATTGCGTTGTTACGTGTAACTTTGAAATAAGTACCTCAACATGACCTTTCCTTCAATTTCAGTTTCCAAGAGAGAGAATGCTAAGCGGATGACCTATGTTCATTCTTACTATTAGTAGCACTATGAAAATCCAACTACACTCTGTACGCTTCAGCTGAAAGCACGAATACTATGCCTGCAGAGAGATTAACATTAGTTCCAAATCTATCCGACAAACCCGTTTCACTGCTCATCGAGGATCTAAGTTCTCACCATTTACAACGACTCTGGCCTACCACAGTCATCCTGGAAACAAGGACTATCTCAGAGAACTATACATTCGGAATTTCTTATGCATATGTCTTCTAGAAGTTCGTAAATTTGTTACAAGCAAAGCTTTTGAAAAAATAATTTATATTTCCATCATACTAATACTTAAATATCCTCCAGTACAGAATTTTCTGCATGTGATTTTACACCAGTTTACTCATAGTGTGACATTTATGAAAAACTGACGGTGGTTCTGTTTAACAACATACAACTAAGAACAACTAACGGCGTTATCATTGAAATGTATAACGGTTCCAGGGACATGAAGGCTGCTCGCTATAACAAATTTGGTTAGTAAGATTATGTCCAACAAGATTTTCTTCACACAATACACAGGCTAAATAAGGTATGGTTGAATTTTCGTATGTAGTTGTGCGTGCATAGAGTCTAGTATATTCGCTTCATTTCTTCCCAGTTACTTAGTTTGGTGGCGTGCCTTTGGTCTATTAGTCATGAATATCATCACTGCGAATTCACGTGATCCTACTTTTGAGGGTTAATCTACTCCAGCAAGCATCTTGTGGACCAATCCATGACAGCGCTCATATCGTCTTCTAGAAGCATTAAGGTCCAAGAGCTGTTGAAAAGTCTCCATAGTTCAACGCAGTCTGTAAATGTGGGTATAGAGGCCCTGATCTACCTGAACAACTCGTTCATGCGGAGTAAAAGTAAAAGTGAAGCTGGTACAGAACCTGGAGGCTCTTCACTCTACAAGAAGACGGTAGGCCACTTGTTACTGCTCTTTTTGTTCTGTGGCAAAGAAGTATCCGATCGAGTCCACAGCATCATCACTGGAGTGGTCAGGATCTTGATATCCGTCATGCTTCATCCGATCCAGCAATAAACTAAGTCCCTACTATCTTTAACCTGGCCTGTTAGAGCCTACTCATCCCAACTCCTAGCTCATGGTAATCCTTTCCGAAGTTGAGAGCTATAGCAGTGGAGACCTTTAGGATTTGTCCTGATGCGAACTTGACAGACGCAAAGACCAATCACTAATTATTCGAACTTGTTATATACCCACGAATACGAGACCAAGGTAGAACACGATAGCGTAGTCGGATGGAATAGTATATTTGGATGGTTATGCCAAAATACCGATGCGTTCCAACTAACTGGCTAGAGAGTCGAATACGAGCAATGCAACGTAACACGACAGCGTGCCAAATGGCCAGGATGCTTGACCGGGTGCCTTCAGCTTAGCGAGTCCAGTTAAACTATCAAGGTCAGCATCGATGTCGAAAGTCGTCAAACCCTAGGCTACTGATTTTGGGGAAGTGTATGACGCTACAGATCACTCCCCCCCTAGTGGGTTCGTGAGGACCCTAAGACGATACCAGCCGGAAGTAAAAACCCAGTGGTTTCTCCACTGGTAAAACTCTTCCGATGGGCTGACTGCGTGAGGTGGCCCCTGGTTGTCTGAACCTTATTCTAGGGTGTCGTGGCGATTAAATAAATAAAATACAATAAATGGAATTGTACGTCGGTCGCGGTCATCTGTTCCTTTCGACGTTCCGTCCAGTGCTCGTTGCACCTGGAATATAAATAAAAGTCTTTAATACCACGAAAACGTTGCCTAAAAATGGGAATTATTTATATATCAACATATCGAAAAATAAAAATTTACGCTTATCTTTACCGTTTTTTTTTAAAATTTCATTACATGGTAAATAAAAATTGATATAAAAAGGCAAAGTATACGAGGGTTTGTATTGATGTATCGGGTAGGAGTCCGGAGTTGTTTTGGCGTTGAGCCTTCGGTAATCACCGGTTGGACGCCAGTCACTGCTATCCTTTTGGGAACCATGTGCAATGGCGATGCCCAAGGATTGTTCGACGGTCTGATAATGCCCAGGTCGAGCATGTGGTCGAATTCATTTTTCGCCGTTTGGAGCTTATCGGGGGCTAGACGGCGCGCTTTGGATGCCACAGGTGGACCTGTGGTTGTGACGTGATGCATAACATTGCTGGTTATGCACGGAAGAGTGTGCTTCGGTTGCTGTAACTCTGGATATTTCTCCAGAACTGCCTGGTAGGACGCGTCGTCTGATTGTTTAGTCCTAACGATGGCTAAACTCGGACCTACATAGGTGGTGCCGCCAATGGATAACTTTGTGCTGTTATCTATCAGTCGTCGACGGCGAGCATCTACGAGTAGATCGTAATGGTTTAGCAAATCTATGCCAATGATGGGCATAGAGACGTCTGCCAGGAGGAAAATCCAGTGGATAGGTTTGCGTAAACCTAAGTTGAGGTAGGCATACCGTCTCCCGAATGTCGCGATTGCCTTGCCGTTGGCTGCTTGAAGATTGAAGGATGGGTCAAGATGACGCTCCTTTGTCGTTGCTGGAAGAATGCTAACTTCTGCGCCGGTGTCGACGAGGTAGCGGACTTTCGTTTTAATATCCGTGACGTAGAGCAAACGGCTTTTTCGCCGGCTACGGTTGCCGTGAGCACGTGCCGGCGTGACCGTTTCCCGAGTTCGGGTCCTTCTTAAAACGGCATGGTTTACGACATTTTCTGGCTTCATCCCCGTAAGTGTTATGAAACCAGCACCATTCAGGGTTTTCCACCCTGTTGGGTTTCGTTTTAGGGCTACCACACGACTTGCTGCGATGCGCCAAGGTGCGTTTCCGTGAAGTGCTACGTGATCTAGGACTTCGAGATCGTAGCAACCGTCTCACAGAGTTGCACAACTTGGTCACCTCTGAATCCTGGCGCTCTGTTTTGTCGCAGATAGAATATACGTTGGAGACTGGTCTGCTGGATATCTCCAGTATTTTATCTGCTGAGGCTGCCAGGTCGTCGAGTGGGACTGACTGGAGTGTCACCAACACGGTTTGCACCGGTTGTGGTAGTTTCGAGAGAAATAGTTCTCGGAAGAAACCATCGTCAAATGTTCGTGCACCGATTACTTCTCGCATGCGTGCGAGGACTTCAGTAGCTGAGTGGCTGCCTAGCTCGATGTTACGAAACAATTCGTCTAGACGTTGGCGATCTGTGAGATCGCTTTTCTTCAAGAGTGCGGCCTTTAGAAGTGCATAAGGGTCACTTACTTCAGGATTAAACATGTTTGCTGTAACATACCTGTTTAATTCTCGCGGTAGTGAACGTATGACAGCAAGAAATCGAGAATGAGGATCTGAGACACCCTGTTCTCGAAAATCTGCCTCGGCATACAGAAACCATGTTTCTGCATTGTCTGGCCAATATGGCACGAGTTGGATCGTGTTCGTAGTCGGCTTAATACGAATAAGCTTGGGAGTGTGGTCGGACATGAGAAAGTGTAGTAAATGGATATATAAATGTTATCGAAATGAAAACAATAAACAAATATAAAATGGAACAGGCTCACCAATTCAATACTTGTTATTGGTCGGGATATGTGATCACGTCGGGATATGATCACGTCGGGCTCACCAATTTAGGATTTGTCCTGGTGCGAACTTGACAGACGCAAAGACCAATCACTAATTATTCGAACTTGTTATATACCCACGAATACGAGACCAAGGTAGAACACGATAGCGTAGTCGGATGGAATAGTATATTTGGATGGTTATGCCAAAATACCGATGCGTTCCAACTAACTGGCTAGAGAGTCGAATACGAGCAATGCAACGTAACACGACAGCGTGCCAAATGGCGAGGATGCTTGACCGGGTGCCTTCAGCTTAGCGAGTCCAGTTAAACTATCAAGGTCAGCATCAATGTCGAAAGTCGTCAAACCCTAGGCTATTGATTTTGGGGAAGTGTATGACGCTACAGACCCCTACAATTCCAAGCCTATACCACCCCTCCATGTGGATCCTGGGAATATTGTTTTCCCCGCGCTGATTATTGAAGGGCTAACTAACTCGGAGTCCCTTTCCCCATTTCTATGTCTATTCTGTATGTCTGACAGCACAAATACGCTCTTCCCACCGCCAGCCTGGCTTGGTTGTACAGGATGAATCAACCACTGAACATGCCCTTGCGGAATTAACCTTGTGCGAACCTGCCAGATGCGGAGGACAATGAAGAAATATTCATGCTCATCATATATACCCAAAGACAAGAGAACAAAGAAGAGCGAAATGGCATGGTCGAATGAAATAGCACAATTGCGTAGTCGACTAAAAACGATGCAACACATTACGCAGCGTGCCAAGTGGTGTGGATGAATGACTATGTGCCTCCAGCTTAACGAATCCGGTTAAACTGTGAAGGCCAGTATCAATGTTGAATCTCGTCGAACCCCAGGCCATTGATTTCGGAGGGGGGTGTGACGCTGCAGTTACACGCTACAGTTGGCCCAAATGGTTTTTGGAACCTGACCCAAACTTCGTAAACCAGCATTTAGTAGAACCACTGTTGTCGATCCATCTTTCGCCTAATGCTACCAATTTCTTTATGTTAGCACCACGGCGATCTTCAGGACGAAGTTTCCGAACGGGTGACCCAACTGAGTTTGTGCCACGAAAGTGCGGCCAAACAACATCCTGTCCCTATAACGTTTCCTATTTGTGTATGAGAAAGTTGTATGCAACATGCATTTTGTGGGTTTTAGCGGTGTTTGCACTGTTACCCACACAGCATGGGATTTGTCGTTACTTCAGCTCCATTCTTTCGCTTAACATATTTTCACTTGTTTTTAGTGGATATGCCCGCGCTTTGATTCCAGGACTTATTAACAGTTTCATCAAGGTCGCCAAGAGCTTCCCCCTTTTCATTTCACAACCTTCAGAGCTGC